CCATTCATTGAACAAGTATTTACTGAGCACTTACTATATCCTAAGCACTCAGTATACACTAATGACCCAAAAGAAATTCCTTCACACAAGGAAGGCAGTAACATTCTAGAAATATTGAATATTCAACCAAAAAAGAAAAACAAAATTCACTGCCGTCAAGCCAACTCAACTCATAGCAACCCCTCCTTGGGTATTCAAGGGGTAATAAATACTACTTAGACAAGGGAAACATGTAAGGGGACAAAGAGTGATAAAGCAGGGGTGAAAGTATGCTATTTTAGTTTGTGTAGTCAGAGGACTCTCTGATAAGGTGACATGAGCAGAGACCTAAACAGAGTGAGTAATCTGATATCTAGACTAGAGGAGAAGCAATCCAGGCAGAGAGAACAGTAAAGTGCAAAAGCTCTAAGGAAGGCGTGTGTTTGATATGTTCAAGGAGGAGGAGGTGGCCTTGGCTAGAGCAGAGCGAACAAAGGCAAGAATAAGAGAAGAGTAGACAAAGATGGGGTAAAGAGCAAGATCATACATGGCCTTAGAAACAATAAGAACTTTGGTTTTTAAAAATTCTAAGATTGAAAGACACTTGAGATTTTCGGGACAGTTGTATGAATGAACCTTATATTAGAAAATAATCACTCTGGTGCCTGTGTAAAGATTATACATTAGGGATTAAGGTGAGGGGCAAAAGTAGAAGAAAGGAGAGTAGTGTGGGAGATTTTATTATAGTAAGCAAGAAATGATGGTGGCCTAGACTAAGACAGTAAAGGTGAAAGTGGTAAGAAGTGGTCATATTCTGTAGGATTGCTCGTGCATTGAATGTGGAGAATAAGAGAGAAAAAAAAAAAAGCCATGAAGGATGACATCTCTGTGCACTAGGGCAAATGAAAGATACAAGTGCTATTTACTCCTATTCTCCACTAAAAAGGAACCAGGACTCCTTGGAGAAATGGCTGAAACTGGGGATAGAACAGTAAGAGCCTAGAACAACTTGCTGTGGTCAAAATTAAGTAAGAATGATGGAGACATGTCAAAAAGACACAGGAACCAGGTTCTCCCTGGCTAAACCTGGGACATTTCAAACATCAAATTAAACACTAATAGCGACAGCAAGTCTAAATAAAATGAATAAATATGTAAATGGAGAGAAGGAAAAGCTCTTCCTTAAAGGAGAATGTCAGCTAATAAAGGCATACAAACTGATGGAATCAGAAAATACCTCTTCAGCAACTGACAAAGTAATCTGCTTCAGGCAAAGATATAACTAGTGGTTAAAAATCTGATGAGAAACAGGATGTTTACGTAGTTTCAAAGTATGCCCCCACAAGATTCTTAATTACAGAAAAGAAGTAATAACTAAAAAGGAGAAACCTAGCAGAATACTACATTAATCAAATGAACAAACTTAATATCACCTGCAATGACAAATAGATACGATGCACCTCCTGATATGATGCATTGAGATTGTATCATATCTGTGATATTTCTACCAAAAATGGATTACTTCAATTTTATCATGATGACAAGTTCAAAGTGACAGACATCCCACAAAATAAATGGCCTCTACATTTCAAAGTGCTAGGTCAAGAAAGATAAAGATTGGTAATTGGTCCACATTAAAGGAAACTAGAGACACATGACAACTAAATGAAATACATGACCCTGGATCAGACAATACAGTAAAAAACAATGTAACTGGTAACATATAAACAAAGTTTGTATATGTGATTATTGTTGCTGTTGCTGTTAGGTACTGTTGAGTTTGTTCCAACTCATAGTAACTCTAAGTACAACAGAATAAAACACTGTCTAGTCATGTGCCATGCTCACAATTGTTGCTACGCTTAAGCCCACTGTTGCAGCCACTGTGTCAATCCATCTCATTGAGGATCTGCCCCTTTTTTGCTGACCCTCTACCATGCATGATATCCTTCTCCATGGACTGGTCCCTCCTGACAACATGACCAAAGTATGAGAGGTAAGTCTTGCCATCCTTGCTTCAAAGGAGCATTCTGACTTGACTTCATCCAAGACAGATTGTTCATTCTTCTGGACATCCACTGTATATTTAAAATTCTTCACCAATACTATACTTTAAAGGCATCAACTGTTCTTTTATCTTCCTTATTCACTGTGCAGTTTTCACAGCATATAAAGCTACTAAATATACCATGGCTTGGGTCAGACGCACCTTAGTCCTCCAAGGGACATATATGCTTTTTTTTTTTAACACTTTAAAAAAGTCTTTCACAGCATATTTGTCCAATGATATATGTAATTTCATTTCTTGACTGCTGCTTCTATGAGCACTGATTGTGGATCCAAATAAAATGAAATCCTTGACAACTTCAATCTTAAACCTGTTTATTATGTTTCTTACTGATCATGTTGTCAGGATTTTTGTTTTATGTTGAGGTATAATCCCTGTTGAAATCTTTGATCTTCATCAGTTAAGTGCTTCAAGTCCTTTTTGCTCTCAGCAAGCAAGGTTGTGTCATCTGCATATCTAAGGTTGTTAATGAGTCTTTCTCCAAACCTGATGTTGCGTTCTTCATATAGTCCAGCAGCTCAGATTATTTTATCAACATACAGACTTAATAAATATGGTGAAAGGATACAACCCTGATGCTTACCATTCCTGACTTTAAACCACGCAGTATCTCCTTGCTTTGTTTGAAAGACTGCCTCTTGGTCTATGTACAGGTTCCTCATAAGCACAAAAATTGTTTTAGAATTTCCTTTCTTCACAATGTTATCCATAATTTGTTATGATCCACACAGTCAAATGAGTTTGCAGTCAATAAAACACAGGTAAACATCTTTCTAGTATTCTCTGCTTTCAGCCAAGATCTATCCAACATCAGCAATGATATTCTTCCCCATCCCCCTCCATTCCACATCCTCTTCTGAATCTGGATTGAATTTCTGGCAGGTCCCTATCCATGTTCTGCTACAACTGTTTTGAACTGTTTTCAGCAAAATTTTGCTTGCATATGATATTGGCATTTTTCAATAATTTCTGCATTCTTTCTTTGGAATGGGCACAAATATCAATCTCTTCCAGTCAGTGGGTAGATATCTGTCTTCCAAATTTCTTGGCATAGACGAGTGAGTACTTCTAGCATTGCATCCATTCGTTGAAACATCTCAATTGGTATTCCACCAATTCCTGAAGCCTTGTTTTTCACCAATGCCTTCAGTGTAACGTGGACTTCTTCCTTCAATACTATCAGTTCTTCATCATATGCTCCCTCCTGAAATGGCTGAATATCAACCAATTCTTTTTAGTACAGTGACTCTGCATATTCCGTCCATCTTCTTTTGATGCTTCCTGTGTCTTTCAATTTTGTCCATAGAATCCTCCAATATTGCAACTCAAAGCCTGAATTTTTCTTCAATTATTTCAGTTTGAGAAATTTTGATTTTCTAACTCCAGTTCTTTGCACAGTTGATAATTATTATTTTTATTTATAATGTGTATAATATAAATAATGTTTGTAATGTGAATTAATGTATATTATATAATATTTATTATTGTAGACTTGATAATTATTATCTAATTATTAGGTAAGAAGCCTATATTAAAGTTTTGACTTGATTATTGTACTTCGGTTATGTCCTAGTTTTTAAGATACATACACAAATATTTAAGTATAAAGGGGTATTAGTATTATGTCTACAACTTACTTATGAACAGTGCAGGGGGAAGAAAGAATATACATGTGTTTCCAGTCAGAAAAACTAACCACTCCCTCTTTTAAACTCCTTGTTGACTTTTTACTATAATACTTTGCTTTACTTAATTGGCAGGAAATGAAACAGGTCTTCAGAGGTTAAGCAACTTGTCTAAAGTAGCAGTTAGTAAATGACAGACTAAGTTGTGATCCCAGATCCATCTGACTCAAAGCCAATACTCCATTAAATCACAGTAGGATAGAATGCTGAGTAAGCGCATGCTGATGGTTTATACTGGTTTTAACACTGAGAAATAAACAAAACCTGAGAAATAAACAATCTATTCACTAATGGCTCTCTTAATCTAAAGAGTTTCCCCTACTATTCCTTGGGAAGGAACAAGAATTCCCAGCATCAGTCCCATAAATTCTTACTTTGAAAGTGAGAGATACAGAGAACTCAAGAGAGAAAGAATTCAGCTGAACTGCAAAGAAGGAAAGAGGGGATAAATTAACATGATCTGGAAGAACCTGTACAATATAGCCCCTGCTGACTTTCCTAACTCAGCTTGACATTCTCCACATCCTGCATTCTTTATCCCAAACTACTTTAATTCCAAGAATTAAGCATGTTTTTTCTCCCATCTTCAAGTCTTTGCACTTGCTTTTCCTTCTGATTATATGTGGGACTCCATTCCCTGTCATCCTGATAAACGCCTACATATCTCTTAAGCCCCGCTCAAATAGTATTTTCCCATGATGAAACCTTCTTTGGCTTCTCCTGGAAGAGGGAGATGCTCGCTATTTTTTCTCCCAAAATACCCTGTATGCTATGATTGTACTTTTCACATGAATGTAATTATTTATTTACGAGTCTTGCTTAAGGGAAGGATTTCCGTCACTCACATTGGTGTCTCCAGGATTTGGTACATATCTATACATTTATATCTTGCCACCTGTCATAAAGGATTAAGGCAGAAGCATTTAATAAATACTTCTTGAATGAGTGAAGAATATATAGGTGCTTCATCACTTACAAGAAACTTGTTTTCATTCTCTTTTTGCTCAAATTCCAAACTCTTCTTCATTTGTAAGAAAGAAAAATAAACCAAGCTCATTTGATACTGATAGTCAAAGTAATGTGTTTATCTGTAAAACCAAGGTAGTTATCATGAGTTTGAAAGGAACACCCTAACCATAAAACTGATTTTATCAACAAATCACACCTATTTTCAGATTAGATGGATAAAATGCCAGAATATAATTAATCCTCTGTTTCTTATCCATGAACAAAGGGCTTGACTGCTCAACCTAAACATCCAACTTTACCTGCAATGCTTGTTCCTGGATATCACGAAATAATTCCATATCTTTCTCAGTCATGATTTCCTGGCTCCCAAAAAGCCGCTCCTCACTTTCTTGTTTGCCATCCCAGCCATCCTGATTGTCTGTACATAAATAAAGAGCTCTCATGTTATTTCTACTGTATTTAGTTTGATACATGAACTAGAAAAAATGTCAAAAGTCTTTAATTTGAAGACTTTAATATCATTTATGTAACAAAGAAGAGTACAGAATTGTTTCCTAGGAAGATAATACTCAACAAAGAATGTGTACATATTATATCTCTATTATAGTGAAAATCCTGGATTGTTTAAAGATTCCTTAAAAAAAAAAAAAAAATCACACAACTAAATTTAAACTTCTTTAATAGAGATTATATTTGAACATATTATAACATTCAAAAGTAGAATGGGAAGAGGGCCTAAGGAATATAAAATTTATGGTGAAATTATAAAAATATGACATTTTTAGTATGAATTTAACATGTTAACATTCAATTATTTTTTCATTTGTGGTATTATGGAAGAGTTGTAGTGTAAGCAAGATACAATTTTTATTACCTAGAGCAAAACAGAGGAGCTCCGGTAGCGTAGTGCCTAAGGCACTTGACTGCTAACCAGAAGGCTGGTGGTTCAAAACTACCAGCCACTCCTCAGAAGGAAGATGGGGCAATCTACTTCTATAGTGATACTGCCTCGGAAACCCAAGGAGGGGTCTCTATGAGTCGGGTCCGACTCGACGGCACATAACAACAACAACAGAACAAAACAGGGAAATTTGCTCTTTTAAAATTCAATGATCCTGCAGTCTTCACAAGGTCAATACATTTTTCTATTAGCAAAAAGATAATCTTCAAAATAGCTACCTTAACTGACGTCAGGAAGTTAGTACTCCCCTCACATTCTGAGTGCCCTTTTAAAGCACAAACTCCACAAACCTGAGGATCACAGATGATAATCCTCTGGGATAAATATGAGAAATTATGATAATCATCCACTAAATGATGCATCTTCCTCAAATGGACAAAGAAATTAGTGAAGGGAATATTTGGGGATTATGTAGATCATTATCCTTTGCATGTGAAGATGACACCGCTGATGACATCATTTCCTCTTTGTGTGAGTATGGCTGAAAAGACCAATTAGTGACAGGCAGTTCTTTTCAATCAACTGCAGATATAGGCTGTCTGTTATTCAGTACAAGAAGAAAAAAAGGATAAGTACTCACTGTTGACAGTATTCCCAACTCAAAAAAAAAAAAAAAAAAAAGTATCTAAATATACTATGTGACTTTAATGCCCCCTAGTGCATGACACAGAAGAATGCAGGAATAGATCTAGTACAGCGTTGTATCAGATAACACACAAATTGTTCCTTTAAACTCTACAATTCATAAAGAAAGTGAGAGTCAAATAAAGCAATAGTTCACACCAATGCCTAAAGCTGAATATTGGTTCTCTATATACTTCATACACTTGCTATAACTATTTCTATTTCTAAAACTTGGAAATGATTTTTCTAATTATCTCCGCAAATTGTTGGTTAATTTTAAAATGCCTTTTGGTAGCACCTGCTTATTGCGATTCTTTTCTTCTAAGCCCAACCTTAATGGCTTACATTATTTTCTGAGATGAACATGCTCAAACTGGGACCTGTCTATAGTCTACATTGCTGATAAAGACATGAAAAGTACTTGTGTATTTAAAGAGTAAATAGTTGATTACCACTCTGGTAAAAAGCCAATCAATAAAGCATAAAAAGTGAGACCTGATAATGACAATTTCCTCTCCTGTAGTGGACCAATCAGCCACATATAAGCAGGAATGAGGAAGCACTGAAAACAAGCACTTACCAATGAGACACTCAGGGGGAGGAAATCAAAGTTAAGAAATTCTCTTGCAGTAGATGAGACAACACTCATTGGCCCTTGTGATCCAAAAGAGTTAGTTTATTATCATTCTTCTACTTTCTCTAGACCTCTTTCTACTTCCTACTTCCATCTTAAGGTTAGGTGCTGTAAACTTAAGGCACAGCAAAGAGACTATTAAGAGTTTGTTGTTTGTATAGCTGAACAAACTCTTTTCCTTTCTTGAAAGGTTTTGAGCTGTGGTTCTCTCTTGCTTTCTCCCTCTGTCTCCTCTCTTCTTCACTCCTTCCTATTTTATCTCTAAAGTGTAATCCATGAAAAATTACTATTCTTGACAAGATGTGGAACAGAAAAATCAATGACTTTATCATATTTGCATATATTTGGTCTTTCCTTATGCTTAGATCAACAGCATTTTACCTATCTCTACTCTTCCCAATGGCCTTACTGGAATAAAGTGAGCATCATAATGCGCATCACATGATTTATCTAGTAATTTATGAAATGCAAAGTTATCCTTGATTCAAGGTTTATACCCCTAAATACTCATAGGCAGATTCTCCATGGTTCTCTCAAGAAAGCTTTCTTTAGCCTAAGAATTCTTATTGGTTCTTTCTTTCAGTTCATCCCTAGCCTCTAAATTCTTACCAGTCATCACCTCTGAATCATCCAAATCTGAATTGCTAACATGTTCTTATATTCCATAACCTGTTTTTTATTATCAAAGATAAATTTATTCTAGGTAACTAACGTTACTCTAAATAAAATACTTTTGGAATATTTTTTGTTTCTAAGTGAATAAACTTTTACCTGTGGGCCAATCTGAAGTGCTTGATTTCCTGTTGCCCTTTTTCCTGATTCTATATTGCTCAGAGTAGTCTACCACTTCCCCTCGAGCTTTCCGCCCATCAGGGGAAGGGGTGAAGAATTTGGTAAGGCCATCAATGAGCCCTTTGGTTTTCTTGTTGAACTTTAGGGGAACACTGCTATCTCTGCAGAAGTCCAAGCCATCTATTCGCTCTAAATATCCTTCTTCTGATGACGATGCTGATTGGCTGGAGAGAGTGATTTTACGTTTCCGACCCCTTCCAGGGCCAGTTCGAACTTTGCTGAAGGGACCTTTTGATCTAAAGAATCAAACAGGGAAAAGGGTAACTATTAAAAAGAAAATTTTATAAGGTTTCTATTTCTACATAATATTTAATTAGTAAATAACCTCTTAGCATTAAAAAAAAATCTACAATGTTAATAATGTTATAAATAGTATACAAATGAGAAGTGGTAGTCTATTTATTGATAGTGAAAAGAACCCTAGACCAGGAGTGAGAGACATGTTTAGAGTCATAATTCTGACACTTATTAACTGTACATCGTGGGAGAATCATATCTTCTCTCAGTAACAATGTCTTCAGCTTTACAAGAGCTGGACCAGAGAACAACTAAGAACCTTCCCAATATAAAACCCTGTAATGCTATGATCTTTGCATGAACTCAGTTATATTTTACCTCTAAACACAAGGGATGTATTACCCTCTGAAAGGCAGAAATCTAAAGATCATTTTTTAGGAAAACTGAAGTTTGACTTAATGTTAAAAACACAAGACTACATATCTGATTGCAATATTTCAGGCTGCTAGTACCTATTCACTTCAGTTGTATCTCACTTTTAAGATGTCTAAAATAGAGAAAATGGGTAGTGATAATAAAGAGAGTAATATAGATAATAAAGAAAGGCTTGAAGATATTTTTATGCATTATCAAAAGTAGATTACTATGAAGATACATTAAAAAGACAGAATTAACTGAATCTTGCCCCCATTTCCTCCAGAGACAGCCCAATCTTCTAGTCCACAAGTGATTATATTCCTGATTTTTGCTAACAGATAAAACACTATATTCCTGATTTCTGCGAGTAGAAGAAAATTATTTTACACATTAGGAGAATATAGAAATGGGGCTTAGCTAACACGTCAACAGGCATGAAACATTAATTTTTATATCCTTTTCTTATATAAGCAATAAAAAGTAATGTTAAGAGTCAGACGTTGGAGTCAGACTACCTAGGTTTTAATCCCAGTTAACCTTGTATAAATGAATCTTCCTATGCCATTATTTTCATCCTCTGAGAAATGGGGATAACAACTGTACCTACATTTCACTGGGTTGTAAGAGAATTAAAAGTTTCAACACATATAAATAATTAAGAGCTCAAATTAGTTATTACTGTATAAAACTGCTAGTTATATAAATGGATTTTTCAAAAAAATAAAGACAAGTGAATCCTACACTATAGAGAAGACCCTATCCTTTTCTCCCCTCACCTTGCCACAAGTACAACTTACACCGTGTTTTGTTTCTTTAACCTGTTTTTTGGTCGTCCTATTGGATTAGCATAGCGCCGTTTTATCTGTGCTGCCTTCTTTTGTAGAAGTTTTCGTCCTTTTTTCCTAGGTCGACATATTTGACATATCCACATGCCTATAAAGAAAGAAAATTTCACATAAAAACACCGCAGACATAAATACACTGTAAGATTTCAGATACCACTTCAGGAGATCTTAAGCTCTTTCAGATCGAGGCCTCTCATTTGAAAGTATGATGAAGTCTCCCAGAAAATAAACATACAAACTAAAAATCCAACAAACAACTGGAAAGGATTCACATACATCCTCAATCCCACACATAGATGAAGTACACCAATCCTCAATAAAAAATTCCTGTACTACACCTAGTGCCTAGACATTAGTTCCTAAAAGGTATTTCACCAAAAAAAAAAAGGGGGGGGGGGGGGGGGCAAGATTTCCACAAAGTACCAGCTGGCTGAAGGACACTGAAGATATACGATATATAATAACCTAGAACATCTTGTGGTGCCAGAGAGTAAATGCTCAAAAAATGATGGAGGCATATCAAAAATACACAGAAAGCAACTTGCAAGAGATAATTTGCATTAACAAAATAAATAATCATAGCAATAAACTGTAACTCATAGACTAAAGTAAATATCCTTAAGTCCATAATGAAGAAATTGAATGAATAAGTAAAAGAGGGCAACTTTTCTTACAGTAGAATCCCAATTTAAAAAATATAGAAGGAATGATGGAAATAGAAAATCCATCCATTATGAACTCCACTGTACAAACACCACAGTAATAACTATTACAAGCAAGAACGATAGATGGATGCTAAAGTTAGTGGACAGTAAGAAAAAAGATTAACTTTAAGGTTATCTGTCAGGTTTCTCCACTATAATCAAGTGATCAAAGTTAACATTAACAATAATAAGACATGTCATTATCATATACTCTCTGCTCTGATGCTCTGAAACGGGACCATCACCATTTCTGTGGTATATTTGTCAAAACTTCTAACTTCAATCTACTCATAAGATAGCAATTGACAAATCCAAATTTGTACAAAATAACTGACCAGTAAGTACTCATTAAAAGAGTCAAAGTCAGGAAAGATTAAGTCTAAGGAATTATAACAGACTGGAGGAGTCTAAGGGAATATAACAACTCAATGCCATGTGAGATCTTGGACTGAATCTAGAAACATTCTCCCCCTCCTCCTGAAAAAAAAGGGCACTAATGATATATGAGAAATTAAAATAAGGTCTGTAGATCCCTTAATCATATGTCAAAGTTTAAAGTTTTTAAAAAGAAAATTAAATTTTAAAAATCTGCTCTCAGGTGTTATAAAACTTCTGTAGAGTCAAACACACAGGAAGAAGCCCTAATAAACTTTTTCTTTTCTTCCAAGAAATTCTCCAAAGGTCTTTTTGCCCAGTCTTCAAATAAATGGAAGAGGCAGGAAAAGGAGAGTAGTGATTCTTCCAATACATATAGATTTAAGACTTTTCAAAAGGTAACAATAAATAGAATGGCATAAGAGAACCTCAAATAAGATCCTAAAGTAGAACAACTTGACCATAACCTAAGTTTGAGTCCTTTCCCATCAACAAGAGAGTTTTCTAAAATCAGACATTATACAATACCCTATATAAGCATTATACGTAAGAAAATTATAGATAATGAAATCACAACTGAAACTGGAATTTGAAGTAAGACAAAACAGGGTAATTAATTGGATTTCTTTTTCCCCCCTTTTAAACTGTAAGCATAGGCTAAAGAGCTCTGGTGGTATAGTGGTTAAGGTATTTGGCTGCTAATCAAAAGGTTGGTGGTTCAAACCCACCAGCCACTCCATGGAAGAAAGATGGGGCAGTCTGCTTCTGTAAAGATTTGCAGCCTTTGAAACCCAAGGGGGTTTGCTATGAATTAGAATTGACTAAATGGCAGTGAGTTTGGCTTGCTTTGGTATAAGCATATGGTAAAATGGTACTCCATGAAAAATAATTGGAAGGATCTCTCAACAGGCAATGATATCCTAACTAAATATCTTTCAAAGAATAGGAGTCAAGGACTTCTGGTAAGATGGCAGAATAAGGAGACAAGCTAACAGACCCTCTTCAACAAAGAAAAGAGAATCAACTAAGAGAGATACAGAAGATAATCCTGGAGTCCTGAGCTTTGAAAGGAAGTATACAGAACTTGTTTAGGCACCAACTAGTCAAAGAACCTGAATGGAAACACTTGAGTACAAGACAGACAGAGCTGCAAACTGTCATCTACTCTGACAACACCAACAGTCTGAATATTTCCAAGTGGTATTGGAACCTGAGAACTGACCTAAGGATCAGCCCTGGTCGCCAAGGGATGCAGGGATGACTAGGCTGGTGGCCGATGACTAGGAAGTGAAATAGCAAAGAGGCAGACGACCTAAGCTGTGCACTTTTGGCTGTCTGGAGGGTGTAGCCATTTGGAAGCGGCAGCCATTTTGGATATTTAAAGTGACCGAGGGTGCAGCCAATTTTGAATGTTGCAAGAGGTGACCATTTTGGATAGTTATAGTGACGGCATTCTCATTCGGATCCCAGGGACCTAAAAATAAGCTCCGCTTGCCAAGGATGTCAGGGACATATGGAAGGCTAACAAAAGGAAAGGAAACAAGTGCGGCCAACTATTGAATAGGGGAGCACAGTACCCTGCTTACTTAGATAAAATGCAAAGAAAACAAAAATCTCAGGCATATCACTCCAACATACAATCACCAATTAAATATAAACACAAAAACATAACAATGTCACGGAGACAAAAGAGCATCACAGACCACACAAAGAAGCAAGATAAATCAGAAGAAATAAAGGAACCAGGATACAGACTCAGAACACATCCCTAAGGAAGAAGCAGCATTGGAACCCCTGATAAGGAATTCAAAAGAATTATATTTAGGTGACTTCAAAGGATTGAGAGAAAGATCAAGGAAAACACTGACAAAATGGAGAAAAACACAGAAAAAAATCCCACAACAATTTCAAAAGACAATACAAGAACAAAATAACAAAATACATGAAAAATTATAAATGATATAAAATCTACAAATACAAATTCAGAAGACTAATACTAAATTTTCAGAAATAGACAACACATTGAATGGGCAAAGGAGTAGAACTGAATCAATTAGTTAGACTGAAGACAAAGACATGAATACTTCTTTGGAAAAGGAACAATTAGAAAAAAGATCAAAACAAAATGAAGAAAGCCTAAGGTTCATGTGGGAAACCATCAAAAGGAATAACTTATGTGTAATCAGAATTCCAGAACAGGAAGATACAAATAAAATCACAGAGAAAATTGTCGAAGATTTGCTAGAAGGCAATTTCCTTGGTATGATGAAAGATGAGACTATATCCATTCAAGAACTCCAAAAAAATGCAAACACAATAGACCCCAAAAGAAAATTACCACGACATATCATCATCAAACTCACCAAAACCAAAGACTAAGAAAGAATCCTGAAAGCAGCATGGGAAAAATGAAAAGTTATCTACAAGGGGCAACCAATAACACTAAGCTCGGGTTTCTCAGCAGAAAGTGGTTGAGAAGACTATTGAATGGTATATACAAAACCCTGAAAGAAAAAATTTCCAACCAAGAATTATATACCCAGTATATAATAAAACACCCTCAAATATGATGGTGAAATTAAGACATTTCAAGATAAGCGGAAATTTGTGAAAACAAGGCCAACCTTACAAGAGATGCTAAAGGAAGTCCTTTGGACAGAAAACTAACAGCAGCAAACCACAATCATTAACACACATGGTGACATAACCCAGAAACCAAACCACCTATGTAAGTATCCAAAGTAAATAAGCCTACAAGATTGTAAACAGGGAAATAGAGACAACAATTGATAAAAGAGGACAACTACAAACCACAATGAGGGGAAATACTGTGTAACTACAGAACTTCTAAATGGTAGGGAAGTCAAGACAACTGCAAGACAGAACGGACTGTTCTAAACTTGGGAAGAAAACTATAAATCACAGAGTAACCTCAAAGAAAAATGATAAACCTTCACATCACAATAAAAAAGAGGACAAGCACAAATATTTAGCAAATACTAAAACAACAACAACGAAGAAAGTGATGACATAATTCATAAGCAAAACAAGCTCAGTACAGAAAATTATACTGAACAAAAAAATCAGCAACACCACAATAAAGCACATAACAAAATGACAGCAATAAATTCATATTTTTCAAAAATTACACTGAATTTCAATGGATTAAATGCACCACTCAAGAGATGGAGAGTTGTAGACTAGATAAGAAAACATAATCTATTATGTAACTATCAAACCATTGAGAATCATGGCCCAGCCAAGTTTCACATCTTGTTGGAGGATATGATTGAATGCATAACAGGAAGCACTAAAAATATATGTTTTGTGACTTCCGGTAAGATGAAGGAATAGGCAAACAAGCGACACAGACACTCTTCAACAAAGAAAAGAAAAACAAATTGATACAGATACAGAAGATAATCCTGGAGCCCTGAGATTTGAAAGGAATTATACAGAAGTGGATTAGGCATCAAACTAGTGGAAAAAGCTGAACGAAAATAGTGAGTACGGAGATGGTAGGAGCTGTGGACTGTCAGCTGCTTTTGATGGGACTAACAACCTGAATATTTCCAAATGGTGTTGGGACCTGGAAACTGACCTAAAGATAAGCCCTGGAAACCAAGGGCTGCAGGAATGACTGCTCTCGTGACCTATGACCAGGCAAGCAAACAGCAAGGAGGGAGACAACCTGAGCTGTTGAATTTCCACTGTCCAGAGAGCTCAGCCATTTTGAATGTATAAACGATGGCCATTTTGGATATATAAAGGGACCAAGGGTGCAGCCATTTTGAATGTTTACAACCGGTGGCCATTTTGCATACTGAAAGTGACTGAGGGTACAGCCATTTTAAATCTTTACAGGTGGCAAACATTTTGGGTTTTAAGGTGACAGCATTCTCATTCAGATTCCAGGGACCTAAGAATAATCTCTCTTTGCCAAGGTCAGCAGGGACATATGAGAGGCTGACAACAGGAACGGAGACAGGTGGTGAGTGTCCAAGTGCTG